AGGCGTACATACATTACCATGTAGGCAGTCAAAAACACAGAGACAAACTTTTCTATTCTTTCACATGGGACTCTTCCCGGTCGTGAACCTCCAAAGCATCGTTAGGAAGTCACATTTCCCTTGTCAGTTTACTGTGCTGTTAAATGCTCAAAGCATAATGGCTGGTTGTAACAGTCGTTAGGTTGTCGGATGGCGATAAACAATGCACGAAAGAGACCGTATTACTCGATTGTTCTTCGTAAAATTATCGGATTACCTCGGTAACATACTCGACATTGTTCGGTTAAAAGGGTGGAACAAACGCTCGATTTTCCGCCATGGCCACATTCTGTAGGAACATGATAAACGATCAACAACAAAAACAAACAGTCAGGTTACTTTGTCCTTTTGAAATTTATGGAAATTTAAGCCCCGTGAATGGGTTCAACTTTCCCCTTTGATTTCACCTTTTTCGTGTATCTTTTACTGCCGTACAGATAAGTCAGTGTCGTTATTTTTTACTACTTAGGAAGCCAGATTTCCCTTACCGTATAGTTCTGTGCTTAGGCAGTACGCAGCTAACAACTATTGTCGAATGGCGATAAACAGAGCACGAAAGGAACCGATTCAATCGAAAGTTCTTCGGAAATTCATCGAATTCATACTCGACATTGTGTGGTTAATAAGGTGTACACTGTTGGAAAGAATACCGTAAAAGCAAAGAAGAAGTATAAGTTAATTGAGATCTGTCAGAACGAACTGATAATTATAGAGGGTCGTGCAGCGGAAAGAGGGGGAGAGGGTAGGGGCGTCTCTGGCATGGCTCACGAACAAAACAAATAGCGAATCAGGGATCACGGATATCAAAATTTCATTTTCCCTAATCACGAAAACAAGCAAGTTAGGTACTCTTTTTAACAACCTGCTCTTACGCTAGAAAGAGTGTTTGAAGAAAGCAAAATCGATCGTGAAAGGCTAAGACTCTAAGTCAGTAAAGGTCCCATATTGCAAATCGCATACCTAAATCACTCTCGATATATACTTGGTAGTTGCCGATGCCTTAAGAGATGTTACGATAATTATAGAGGTCATATTTGATGTTTTCAGTCTTAATAAATCTTCTGGAGGACTCGCGTCTCAACATCATGCACAACAGAGAGGTGAAATCACGAATATCGGATAATATTTCAAGTTTTTCACGGGTCACGCAAAACGCTCAAGTCACAGGTCACAAAGAATCACGTTTCACGGAAAATAAAATTAGCTATCACGCATCACGAGAATACATCCTGCACGACCCTCATTTTAGCTGTGAAATGCCAGCACCACGTCCAGGCCTGGGTTCGAATCCTGGACCCGGCGTCATAAGTAGGCTGTAAGCTGGGCTGTGTTTATTGTTGGTTCTCGTCTCAGCTCCGAGGATTTTTCTCTGCTTGTGTTGTATTCCCAACTCTCTTTATGGCATCTGGAAATGTGTTCAAACACCGCGGTTTTGTGTGTTTGATATATTATGACTAAACATTTGTAATTTTTAATTTGTAATTACCTTCTGTCATTGTTGAAGGCAATTTATGAACTGATTGTCTGTTTTTTACTCAAACAGATTTAACAAAAAATGTTGAAATTGTCACTGTAATAATTTTTAGTAATTCATGTTATTTATCACTGGTCACCGTGACATAGATAGATAGACACCTTTATTTGAAAGTAAAAATCCAAAGGTAAAAATTTCAGGGTAGTCCCTTCAGGGAGCTTACAAAGCATCTCTGCTATCAACAGGAGCCCTGAAGCTATTACCTTACATAGATTACACAATAATACGATATATGCAAAAATAAAGACAAATATAGGAAACTATATTACAACAAATATCAAAACCCCATAATTACCATAGTAATATCTTCAAATTTATGTACATTTATGTAAATTTATGTACAGTATTAAAAACCATACTTTCATGATAATAAAGAGATCTCCTGGCTGTTTCCGATCTTATTGCAGGCAGATGTAAAAGATTGCTTGGCCGGGTTGAGCGAGTGCAAATGTACTCATTACAAAAACAAAATAGTTATTAAAATATTGGGGACACCGACCATCTA